AGCTAGTGAATTTAATCCCATAACAGTTTGAATATTTGTGAAAAAAAATCTTTGTGACCACCAATCAACACAGACTTTTTCTTCACCAGAGAAAACAATGATGAATCCCTTTGCCATGCCCAACTTGTATCAGAAGCTGGAGAGTGATCCTCGGACTCGTGAGCTGCTGGCAGATCCCAGCTACAGAGCACTGCTAGAGCAGCTCAAGAGCAAACCATCTGAGCTTGGAACGTATGTGCATTTTCAAAAACAATCTGCAGATTTAACTCAAGTTTTAAGTAATCTGGGTTACTTTTATTATATTTAGAATTTGTCAAAAGTTCTGGAATAGTAATGAAAAGTGTATAATGGGAGCACAAAGTTATGAAGGTTATTTAAGATTTATTTCCAAAATGTGAATCGGCTCTTATTCCTCTTGTCATCGTCAGGAAGCTGCAGGATCCCAGAGTGATGACTACTCTCTCTGTGCTTCTTGGACTAAACCTCTCTGAGATGGAGGAGGATGAAGAGCCAACTCCTCCTCCCGCAAAACCCAAAGAGACTCAGCCACCTCCTCCCAAAGAGGAAGACCTCCCTGAAAACAAGAGAAAGGTAAATAATCTAATGTTGTTGCATTTTGTTTTTGTTTGTTTTTTTAAAACATCCAACCTTCTGATTAGTCCATAGTCTGAGTTTTGTTCATCCTTAATTTCATATTTTTTAAACAGGCCTTAAAGGAAAAGGAGCTTGGGAATGCTGCATATAAGAATAAAGACTTTGAAACGGCACTGAAACATTATGAAGAAGCGATTAAACACGACCCAACAAACATGACTTACATATCTAATCAAGCAGGTATATTTTCTCAGATATTAAACATTTACTAACCTCATACAAACTTTTCATCTATATTTTACAGTCCCTGCATTATCAGGGGCTGTAACATCTAGCCCTTTTAACTGAATCTGGGAATATCCTCCAGAATGTGGCTGTGTGACTGTAACATAAACAGTTATGATATAAACTATAAATGAATACACAGTAATATAAATACAGTTTTTAGTTTATCTAACATGACGTAAAATGGTTAATGTATTCTATTTGTGTTTAACATGTGCTTGTATTTGTTGTCATTTCAGCTGTGTACTTTGAGAAGGGAGATTTTGACAAGTGCAGAGAGCTGTGTGAGAAAGCCATTGATGTTGGCAGAGAGAACAGAGAAGACTACAGACAAATTGCTAAGTGAGTTCTTTTATTTTACTGGTGATACATTTCTGGTGGAACAAAGATAGCCTTTTACTTTTTCACGATTGTTTTGAGATTTTACGGAAATTATAAAACAGGTTTTAGCCTACAGAAAATGTTTAGTCTGATAGGAATGAAAACCACATACATCTGTGTGGGTGTACATGTGTTGCCTTCCCACATCAGAAATCAAAAACAACACTGAATGGGGCCACTTAGTGACCAGTAGAGAAACACTGTGAATTGTAGTGTCAAGGAAGCAGTGTTGTACTGACTAACTTTCCACCTGAGTGGCTTTTATTAAAGTTGCGTAAACAAATGATCTTGACTATCTGTAATAACATGCTTGCTATAATCTGTCTCCTCATAGGGCCCTGGCTCGAATTGGCAACTCGTACTTCAAGCAGGAAAAGTACAAAGAAGCAATTCAGTATTTCAACAAGAGTTTGACAGAGCACCGAACTCCTGACGTGTTGAAGAAGTGTCAACAGGTGCAGTAGTCCAGATAGTTAATAAATGGATTAGCTAATGTTGTCAAGAGTTGGCACAGTAAAAAAATAATAATACCACATTAGCAAAATGATTTTTAATGTCTATAATTAACTGAAATTTTGAATGTAAAGAAAAACATAGTGTATACTTGGTATACAGTACCTGAACTGAAGTTCACTTACCATGACTTTGTAATTGGTTTTGCAGGCAGAGAAGATTTTGAAGGAACAGGAGAAAATAGCCTATATCAACCCAGAGTTGGCCCTGGAAGAGAAGAGCAAGGGCAACGATGCCTTCCAGAAAGGTTTGTAATAGTTGCAGTGCTTTCTGCTCGACTGCCATTTCTTCTTTTGTCTTCGAACTTGCACAAAGATGAGCTTGTCTTTTCTTTTTCACAGGAGACTACCCCTTAGCCATGAAACATTACACTGAGGCCATCAAGAGAAACCCTAATGATGCCAAACTCTTCAGTAACAGAGCTGCCTGCTACACAAAGCTGCTGGAGTTTCAGCTTGCCCTGAAGGTATAGCACATCCTTCCTGAGTAGGAGTTCATGTGAATCTAATGTAATTTATGCATACCTCTGCATTTATTGTGCATTTAAGACTAACCATGAGAATCTTTTATCTTGTCAGGATTGTGAAGAGTGCATCAAACTAGAGCCCACCTTCAGTGAGTAATAACTTTTATATTAATTACATTTTTGCCTTTTGCCTGAACTGGATCATCTAGAATTATGTCAGTTTATTGTAATTTTACAAATAGTTTATGACATTTGTTCACAGTAAAGGGCTACACACGTAAAGGAGCTGCTCTGGAGGCCATGAAAGACTATTCCAAAGCTATGGATGCATACCAGAAGGCTCTAGAGCTTGACTCTTCCTCAAAGGTATTTTACAGGATATTATACGCTTCAAAAAATGTGGACTTGAGTAGAAAAGATATCTCAGAAAAGAATTTTTTTTTCTCTATACTTCTGCTACATGTTTGCTGGTTGACACAGTAGTTAGTTGTCCAATCACTTTTGAATCAAAAAGAATTGATTACATTTTTTTTTAACTAAACAGATTTGTGTGTTGGAAATGTGAAGAGAGCAGACTGATGAATGAAATGTGGTAATGTCAGATATAACTGTATTTCTAATGCGTGAACAGTGAGCGACAAAAGACTGAATTGAATTCTTTCCACTTTCAGGAAGCCTCAGAAGGCATTCAGCGCTGCATGGTAAGTCAGGCCATGAGGAATGACAGCCCTGAGGAAGTGAAGAAAAGGGCCATGGCTGATCCAGAGGTGCAGCAAATTATGTCTGACCCAGCCATGCGTATGATCCTTGAGCAGATGCAGAAGGACCCACAGGCCCTTAGCGAGTAAGTTTGACAGCTTTACCTCCAATGCAGTTTGCATTTTAACTGTATAGTACAGATTTGTAGTAATTTTGTTTGTTTGTTTTTCAGCCACTTAAAGAATCCAGTTATTGCTCAGAAGATACAGAAACTCATCGATGTTGGACTGATAGCCATTCGTTAATGGGAGACATGAGCCACAGCTGTTAAACCCTCCAAAATGAAACTTCTTTTACTTATTCTTTCTTTCTTTCTTTCTTTCTTTTTCTTTGCCTTCAAATCCAACATATTATCTTCCTGTTCTCACTAAGACTGTATGTGTTTGGTTAATTTTTTTTTTTTTATATATATTTTTTTTATAAAGTTTCACAAGTTTAAAATAGTTTTGATCAAAGCAAGTTTCATCTGGAAAGCTTCAGACTCCAGATAACTTTAAGAAAAGAAATTGGATTCATGTGTACGGGTGTTTTTAATACATCTAAAAAAAAAATAATAATAAAACGATGCAGTACACCGTCATGTTCGGTGTTTAAAGGGCAAATCCATCCTCAGGCTTTTCTCATTTTCCTAGTGGTTCATGATTTAAAGACAGCAGAAAAGAGAAGAGTAAAAATCACTCCAAATAATGATTATAATGTGCAGCACATCTCAAATTGAAGTTGTCCCTGACCTTTGTATTGTCAACTTTAAGGTTTAATTAAATACGGTGCTTTTATGTTGAAACGCCGAATTCGCATTCCTTGGCGCTTCCTCTTCTGGTCATTTCCTACACCTCAAGTGCAAAGTTTAATCCAATCCCTTTTAACACCTAAATGCACGTGTGAGACTCTTAAAAACATATTAAACGTTATTATGATTTGGACGCGTATCATCTACAGCTGTCTCTAAGCAACAGCACAATTTAGTCATTAGATTGGAACAGATGGTGATTAAGTGTAAATGGATTTTAAAGATGGTCTGAATGTGATAGTTAAAGGGTGGATTTACCTTTCAGTGCTAGCACATGCTGGATGAGTGTGTTGACTTGTGCGTTAACTTAGATTAACCCCATTGCACCCTGTCACAACTTGCTAATGTGCATCACACCCAGCAAAGTCGTTTTGTTTTATCTTTGCACATACTGCTGTTACATGTCCTCTCTGTGACAGCTCAGCTTTTTTTTTTTTTTTTTTTTTTTTCTTTTCAGAGGAAAGACAAGTTATACTTCTAACTAACATTCTGCCACAATTTTGCCAATTTGTGGCTTCAGATACCTCAAAGTTACAACATTGTCATAGTATCTTTGTGCTACGGTTTCCAAGAGGGACTCAAATATTCTATTGTAATGCCTTTTGTTTCCACACATACACAGTAGAATAATAAAATGTAGTTATTTGTGCAGCACAGCAACGAAATAGGGCATTTCTATCATTCAAGTCCCCATTGTAATCATAAAGTACACACATCTCACATGATGTAAACAGAATTGTCCATGGAAGTGTAATGTACTAATGGAAACCAGTTGTACTGTGAAATATACAGTATCTGAATGTATCTTGAAAGGAAGTGGTGGCTTTTTTTCATGACGCTGAGTCGGCAGATGGGTAGACCTACAGTTTCAATACCTTGCACTACTTGCATACCAGTGATAGATAAAATGACTGATCTAGACCCCTGTGAATTTAGGTATAAAATAAGATTTAAACGTACAGAGACATAGGCATTAGTAGCATGCTGGAAAATGTTAGTTTATTTTTTTTTCTGAAGGAAGACAAAGTGTGGCAGAACAAATGAAAAGCATAAACAGTAGTTTGTTTGTTTTTTAAATTAATGGAGAGAAAACATTTGACATTTGTTGTAACTACTGGGCAAAACTTGAGCTAGTGTTTGTGGCACAGAATTGCCAGATTTCGTCGAGCTCTTGAGCAATCTCGCTCCGCCCACTCCAGTAGTTCACGTGACTGACCGTCGCCCAGGTTGTGTCGGAAGCATCCTGGTGTTAGCAGTTTGCTAGGCGCTGACAAAAATTATAAAGTGAAATGTAAAAAATTTTCATAATGGACGAATATATTAGTTGGTGACTACTGGTGACAAAGAAGACAAGGAACTACCCAAACTGGCCTTTTCCAACATGGTCAGTTCGCTGGTAGTTGAAGAGGCCAGTTAACACTGCTAACAAAACACCAGCGGTTAGCTAACGTTCAAACTTTGACGGACAAATGCAGTCATTTGCTAGTTAGCTGCTACCGCTACCCTGCCAATTTACTACCACACCAGCTGGCTAGGTAACACGTCTTGTTATTATACGGTAGTTAGCGTTGAAGCTGTTTACACACCGACTATAACGCGTTGTTTTGACCAGTCGCTTATATAACCGAAGGTTTAACGTTATTACCAATTAACGTCAGCTAACTTATGAATAATGACTAGTTATTTAGCTAATGCTAACATTAGCAACTTAAACTGTTAGTTAAATTTCAACTGCAGATAACACATACAGTTACTCAGACTACGTAATTAATACCGACGATCATTGACACAGTAACGGGAAAAAACAACATCTTCTAAGTAGCAGGAATATGAATCTTCTTTCTGATTGATTTCGACCTATCACATGAGATAAATAATGCCAAACACCAGGATGCCAAACGAGTGGGGATTAAGGTTTGGGCAACAGCATTGTCTGGAATACAGCTGTCCGCTCATTTTGATAATCCTTGTCTCCTTCACAATGCAGCCACAGTAGATTGTTTTAACTGCTGAGTGTAAAACGCAAAATCTCGTAAATAAGAAAACACCAGACAAACCAATTTCATCGCAAAGTCTGTAGTCCACTTTTCTTTAAAATATGTCTGGGGACGCATCTGATAGTAGTGAAGACTCTGATGGAAAAACAAATGAAAGGGCCTGTACTGTCAAGCACCAAATCACCAATGGTAAGTCAGTCATATTGTCTGTTATCACTGTATGTAATCATAATCATAACCATAGCCACAAAGGAAACATCTGTGTACTGTAATTCATCTCATCATTTAAATAACACCGCACGAATGCAGTTTGTTCCTTTTTTGATGTGCTGATTCAACCCCACAGCTAACATCACCACATCAGTTTTTTTTTCTGTAAAACGTTTATCCGGTTTTAAAATACTTTTCCTTTTCCATATATATGTGTATATATATGTGGGCTGTACAATATATTCACACACTGGAGTTCCATTATATTAAAGTTATAAAGCAGCAAAATATAATGTAACCAAAAAATGTTTCTCTAAACATACTCCATTTAAATGAAGAAAAAAAAACAGTTTTCTTTGATATTACTTTGTTACATTTCTTTCAGATTTTTCTTTGATTTGTGTAACATTGCTTTGTGATCTGGTTTAGCTATTTGCTAAGCTTTTGTGTGAATGTGTGTTTGTTTTGAGGCTGAGGGGCATGTGAAAAGTCTATAGTGTACAGAAACAATAAAATCATCTTAGACTTTAATAAACTTAAAATAGATTGTTTGGGGGGCATTAGAAATTAACGAGCCAATATTTTTCAAGATTGTAATGGATTATCAGTATTTTTGCTTTAATATGAAAAATATTTTTTGTTCTGTAAAGACTCTGCCGTGTTACTTGCTTTTAATCAATCTAGGTCACCTAGCTTGCATTAGAGACTAAAGAACAGAATTTGTCATAAGTTTTTAATGGACAATGCATCTGTCATTGAATTGATTTTAGAGTGTAAATTTACAAAGAAAAATCCTCACAGATAAAATCAAGTAAATCAGAGAATTGCTGTTGTACTCTCCCTCCAAGAGTAGTAAAGTCAAGCTGTAAATGTGGCTGTAGTGTAATAAACAGTGTGAGTGGATGTTTTTCACCAGCTGTCACAGGTGAAGTGAAGTGATCTGCTTAGTGGCTCACTGGATAGATTGTAGATTTTAAGTAGAGCAACCTTTTAATCTATAGAGAGGGTACATCAAAGTGCATTCATGGATTATAACACAAGAAAAGGCACATTGGTAAAGCATTTGTTAATATCAAGACATATGGTATGTCTTTTTGTATTTTAATATACTTGGGGAAAAACCAGCCAGAAAAGTACACCACTTTATTTGTGTAGAAAGCTTCCCTTAAAAGATAGAGCTCAGTGTGGCTTGTCTTTTTTAAAACAAAAACTTGAACAGAAATAGAAATGTAAACACTGTTCTTGTCTTTTATTTTTCTTTCTACTACAAGCTAACTTCACAGGTCACACTGAAAGAGTCGGCATGGAGAACTTTGAGCTGCTGAAGGTCTTGGGCACTGGAGGTAAGGATCTGCATGTAGCACTGAATAGAATGAAATGAAGATGAAGCTGTTGTCAAAGGTCAAGTACTGGTATGAGATATACTAAAAGCAGACTTGGTTAATTCCCCTGGCTTGGATAGTATTTTGAAGGCAAAGTGTTTATAATTGATATTTGTAGTTTGTAAGTTAAAATGTTTCATGTCATTTATATTCTCATTTAAATGTTACAGCATGAAAAATATCTGATGATTAACAGGGAATCCATATGCTGTTGATGTTACTGATTAGCTACAGGAGATCCTGGTGGCTATTTCCATCAACAAATGAACACCTAATTAAATTTAATGAGTGAGAATGATTCAGATTTCTGCAGATTTGATTAATCTTGCCGCCTGTGCACAATTCGATGGTGTATCTGTGTTTGCTCTGTTTGCTTGTTTACCATCAGCAGTAATTTTCAATATTTGTTTGTCTAGCTTACGGGAAAGTGTTTTTGGTCAGGAAGAACAGCGGCCATGATGTGAGCCAGCTCTATGCTATGAAGGTAATTTTATTAGTGTTGTAATTCAATGAATGTACATTTTAAAGCAGGTTTTTTAGCTAAAAATGTAAATTACTAGTCTGTGCTTTAAAATAAGTCATTAATTATGATTTTATTAACATTTTATAACCATTTTGTGTAAAATGTAAATGAGTTGGCTAATTATCTAAAGCCAATATTAGATTAAACATGGTACAGTGACAGCACATCAGATGTTAAAACCAAGAAATGATCTTTTTTTTTTCCATTTTATTTGCTCGTTTTGGATTTGATGCAAGCCGTTGGGTTGTATAATGTCCTTCTCTTGGACATGATTGCAGCATGTTGCAACATACCCCAAAGCGAAGTGCCATTCACTGAAAGTTCACGGAAGGAATGGAGAAGTTTAATTTATTTTGGTCACTGCCCTAGGTGTTAAAGAAAGCAGCTATCGTTCAGAAGGCAAAGACAACAGAACATACTCGCACTGAGAGACAAGTCCTGGAGCACATCCGCCAGTCTCCCTTCCTGGTTACTCTTCACTATGCCTTTCAGACTCAGAGCAAACTACATCTCATCCTGGGTGAGACACCGGGGTGGGACACTGGGAAAAATGTACCAAATATAGAGAACTCTTCTCTCTTGAAACACTGAAGGTCTTCTTTATGTTTCTGTCTTATACTGTATGTGTTTTTGTTGGCATTTCTTTTTTTTTTCTTTTTTGGACAATGTGTGTTTGTGTAGTTCTTTGTATTATGTCTATTCAAGCTCCTTGTGTATTTGTCTGTGTGTGTGAGTACAGACTACGTGAGCGGTGGGGAGATGTTCACTCATTTGTACCAGCGGGATCACTTTCCAGAAGAGGCAGTACGGATTTATATTGGAGAAATAATTCTGGCTCTAGAACACTTGCACAAGGTGAGGATTATTGTTTCCAGTTTTTACAAATGCTAGAGTTATTTCTTTAATTTTGGCTAGAGCCTGCTGCTTACACAAACTAAGCATTTTAGCGATATGATACTTTTCATAGAATTGGGGTTGTGAGGCCAGAGACGCAACCCCAACTTACTCCTATTTTAAGCCCTATAGGTTGTGGTCTTTTAGCTCTGGTTTCATCAAAACAAGCTGATGGTTAAAGAAGTAAGCCTTTCATCTGTTAAGCATTTAACTTTATTCACCAGATTAATGTTACGTTAGCTCCATAAACACTAGGTTGCGTTCACATTGTTGTATATAGATTGATAAAGTCAGCAGTATTGTGTTTCTGTGTATACATGACACATGCTGCTTTCTCTGCTCAGATAATACTGCTTTTAAAGTGAATGACATCAGTAAATTTTCATTGTGTAAACGGTCTGTTGAAGCCAGCAATATTATGCACCCCATGTCTGAAAAGAGCTTTTGTCATTTAGTGTTGAACAGGAAGTCTGAGTTTCTTTATTGTGAGAAATACTCTGAAGCTCATAGAAGTGGTTTCCTAATGATGTTTCACAGCTACTTTAGTTTTAGATTTAGCTTTAAAGTAGGTGTGCACCAGTGGCCTTAAATGATACTCATGACTTCTTTGAGTAGTTACACAAACCACTACATGGAGGGTGATTGGGTGCATTTTCAAGGTCCTTTTTAAAACATAATGAGTGTGTTCTTGAGGGTTTTATTTGGAAGCATTTCAGCCATCTCTTTGTAAATTATGACCTTCACTAGGTATCCTAAGATCACATTGCAGCACTTAAGTTATGAGATAGTGGATTTGTGTTTAAATTAGTGTCCAAAGAAATTGTCCAGCCACATTGGCTGAAAATCCTGCAGACTTTCATGAGTCGTTCCTTTTATAAATAATATCAAATAAAAGCATTTTAACAACAGCAACTTTGGGGACTAGTATTTCCTGCATCATAGGCTTGCTGTTGTTTGGACAGTTATTTGTTTTGACACATTTTGGGATTAGGACCCCTAGCTGGGATTAGAAAATGCTGTGATTACTAAAAAATAACAGATACATAAGTGGCCACTTTTCCTTTTTGGTTGTAAAAATGTTTTTAGGGTTTCTCTGTTTGCACTGCCTGCTGTCTCTGTTCACAAATTACAGCTTTTAACATGAATGCCACTGGTAAATTTTCATTGTGTACAGCTTGGGATTGTGTACCGAGACATCAAATTGGAAAACATTCTTCTAGACAGTGATGGCCATGTGGTATTGACAGATTTTGGGCTCAGCAAAGAGTTTCTGGAAGAAGATGTAAGTAAATCTAAAACTACAGTGTGAGCATAGCAATGTGTACATGTAAATAATACCTGGGGTGTTTAACTGTTACCACAATCCAAACTGAAATACATTTTTTTTAAGTATGCTTGTTTTCTGATCATCACAGAAGGGGAGGACCTACTCTTTCTGTGGCACCATTGAGTACATGGCTCCTGAAATCATCAGAGGGAAATCAGGACATGGCAAGGTAAAAAAAAAAAAAGAATAACAAGGGAGCAAATGCAGGTTTTGGTGTTAAGATCATCGGTTATTTGAAAGATTTTGAATGGTCACATATTGTGCACAAAATAATATTTAAATTAATGTTTATATTTACATGTATCAGTGTACGGGGAAGGCTTAAACATTTAACACTACAGATGCTTTAAGACTCATGACTTTGGGCCAGTGTGGTGAATCAAAGATGACTTTAATATCTTTGTTATGGAAGGCAGTACCGCCTCAAAAAACCCACCTTTAAATAATTCACAGTGAAAATTCCTTGTCCTCTTTATTGTGCTTTTCAAGCTGTATTCTGCTTCAGTCAGTAGATTGGTGGAGTCTTGGGATCCTGATGTTTGAGTTGCTGACAGGTGCGTCTCCTTTTACCCTGGAGGGAGAGAGGAACTCCCAAAGCGAGGTGTCAAAGTGAGTACTGCGCAATCCCATCTCCATAAATCATCTGCCTGGCCCTTCTTAACTCATTCAAATTGTCTCTGTTATTAGCTGTGTTTTACTAATAAATGAACCCATCGGCTGATGCTGATTTTATGGGAGTGAAAAAGAATTAATGAACCTAAAAAACTGAGAAAATTTACCATTTTAAGAAAAATTTGAATTTAGTGTAGTTGCACATCTTAAAAAGGTGAACAGGGACAACAAAAGACACTGAAAAGAAACAGTTAGAGCAGGGGTCCCCAACTCCAGGCCTCCTCCAGGTGTCCTGCAGGTTTTGGATCTCACCCTGGGTCAACACACCTGAATCAAATGGAGGTAATTTAACCATTTGAATCAGCTGTGCTGGATCACGGACACATCTAAAAACTGCAGGACACCGGCCCTCGAGGCCTGGAGTTGGGGACCCCTGAGTTAGAGGAACATAGGATCCTATATCAGATAAGAATGGGACAATATTCATCTCTTCTATGTGCTATTGTGAATAAATATGGGTTTATGAAATTCAGCATTTATATTTAGCTCATCCCAAGTTTTTCTAAATTTGCGTTGTGTATTATTGACTGACATTCTTTACATTGTAATTGTAAAGACATTCTTTACATTGTAAAGAATGTATATAGAAAAGGGAAAACATGAAGGTCATTGCTGATGAAGTTTCCACAACAGCAGTTCAGAAACTAGTTGCTCAGAAACTAGTTGCTCAAACTGTGATGTGTTTTCTGTTTGCGACACTTTCAGTGCTGCTGAAACAGTACTGAGAGTGTTGTAAACAATAGAGTTAGTGGCAGCTTTGCTGGCCAAAGTATGTGATGCCACAATTTCTGCATGATCCCAAGAATACTTTTGTGCCTTATGTTGTGTAAAAAATCTTATCGGCCATTATTGGAGGAGCATGAATGTTGACACAGTTGTATTCTTGTCCATTGTTTCTGTATGTTAGCAAAATGTTTATATCTTCCCTTTGCCCTTCAGACGTATTTTGCGCTGTGACCCGCCGTTTCCCTCTATGATTGGACCCATTGCTCAGGATCTGCTGAAAAAGTTGTTGGTGAAAGATCCCCACAAGAGGCTGGGATCTGGACCGCGGGGGGCTGAAGATATCAAGGCACATCCTTTCTTCAAGGTCCAATGTCCCTTAACTGTCTATCACTTAAACATCTTTTCCCCTGTGACCTCAGTTCATTCATCTGTAACTCTTTCATTCTCCTTTTCTGCCTCACAGGGACTGAACTGGGATGACTTGGCACAAAAGAAGGTTGCAAGTCCATTCAAGCCAGAGCTGAAGAGCGAACTCGATGTGGGGAACTTTGCAGAGGAATTCACTGGGATGGATCCTGTTTATTCTCCAGCCAGCACACCCCCGAGCACAGATCGTCTGTTCCAGGTCAGTCATCATCACCTCCACACTGATTCTATCAAATGTTTCTACAAACATGACCTGTAAGCATTATTTAACTTTACAATCTGAAAAGTGCAACAAGTGCTTGTTAATAAGTAAAGGCTGTAATAATTCTTCAGTGAGCTACATCATAGTTACACCTAACACATCTCCTCTGTTTTAGGGCTATTCTTTCATTGCACCCTCCATCTTGTTCAATAAGAACGCAGTCATGGGAGACTTTGTTGAAACCCAAATTGGTGCTGACCGACCAGCTTCTGCTTCTGTCCAACGCAGCGCAATGTTACAGGTATGATCTGTATGGGTGTTTTCAAATAATTCTGTGATATGCTTGGTTTCAGGACTGTTTGTTAACAGAAAAGAAGGAAAAGAGCAGGAGAAGCTAAATTATTAACTGAAGTTGGCTTGTTTTATCTGACAGGATGCTTTGTATTATTAAATACTATTCAAGACACTTTGTACTGATCTCGGTAAACAGCACAAAAATCTATTTGGAACAGAAAAAGTTTGTCAGGCTGTCTAGTTGACATTTATCACCTGCGTGTGAAAGGTGTCAGACTCAACTCAGCAATATTTTTAGCTCGTCTTTTAAAAAAATGTTCCAAAATCTTCCAGAAGTCAAAGAAATTCGCAGCTATTACTTTATGTTATTAGATTTATAAAAGATGTAAGCTGGAATTTTAAAATACTGTTGTCATCCAGATTCTAATTACAGTGATAAACAATAAATTATGTTTATATGCAAAAGTAAAATTTCTGTGTAGGTTCTCAGTATTCCGGGTCATGGTAGTCTGTGAAGCTGGGAAAGAGAGTGAATTTAAATAGGTCGAGTCGCTTTCTTTCCAAGCTCCTTAGGCAAATGTGAAATGTATTTTTAGATCAATCCAGAATTGTTACTTCATAGTAATTCCTTCCCTGATAATAGCAGTGTAAGATATAAGGTTTATTTTTTGTAAAGCACTACATATAAAATACTAATTAAAGCAAAACTATTATCCAAGTTATATAGTTGGGGAATTAAAAATAAAAGTATCTCTTTATATAGAGAGTGTACCCAGCTAGTGATAAATTTATACATATTACTTATTAATATATTCATGTAAGAGGCACAATTTAAAGTGGACCTACTGTGCTCCTGCTCAATGATCGGACTCTCAGACTGTACTAGAGTAGCTTTGCATATTCATATTTCGAAATAATCCTGTGTAACCTTATACTGAGCCAAGATGAGGCCCCTGAGTTTACCCACAATCTGAATAAAGCCCTTCAGTCATCTGATTGGGTTCCCGTCATAAACAGGAAGTTTGAACAGCAGATTGGTGAGCGTTCTGTACTCACAGTCAGTCATGTGTTTGTCTAAGATGATGATATAAGAGATAATCTACGGATGACAATGAGTGAGCAGAAAATGCTGCCTGAAACTGAAAATTTGGAGCTATCTGAAGGCTGAGCTTTGTTCTCAAAGAAATTACTTGCACAAACTCTGACTTCATGATTTATTTGAAATTTTTGTTCTGTTTAATATAGAATACAGTGTTGTAAAGGTTTATATACAGATATGACAGAAAATTGGCAAAAACATATTATGTGGACTTTGAGGAAAGCTTACAAACAGTGCTTAACAAGCATTCCTGTTTTAGGCCAAAATGTCTTAACCAGTTTGACCTGTCTTAGGACGCAGAGTTTGATGACATGTTGTACTTTGTAAAACTTTGTGTTTTACAAAGTACAACATGTTTTATCTTTCCGAATTACTTTTTCAGTTTTAAGGTATTTCTCTTTACAAATGTGGGAGCTGAATTTCAAGGTTGCTTCATGTAAAGGTCAAAGTATCCCTTTAGCTTTGCTGGGGCCATGTCTATTGCCTGAAGTATAATAATCTCCTTTGATGGCTCAATGCTATGTTTTTTTTTTGTTCAGGAATCCCAGTTTTTTCAGCACTATGAGCTGTGTTTTCAAGGACCACCTCTAGGCGAGGGTAGTTTCTCTGTGTGCAGGAAATGCAAACACAAGCAAACTGGCCATGAGTACGCCGTCAAGATCGTCAGCCGTAGGTGAGCAGAGATGAAATACTTCTTAGTGCAGTGCTCTTTAACAGATCTGTGTCCATGTGTCAATACTTTACTGTATCACAGTACCGCTGGAACGTAAAGGTGACTGAATGCCCTTAATGTTGTCTTTCTTTGTTAGAATGGAGGCAAACACTCATAGAGAGATTGCTGCCTTGAGGCAGTGTGAGTCTCACCCCAACATCGTCAAGCTGTATGACATCTTTACTGATCAGGTAGAATGGATAATACATAGGATAAAGATAAAAATGATGTATTGGTCAATATTAAGCTACACATAAAAACATCAGCCCTCATGGCCTTCTCTGCATGTCTCTGTCAGTATCACACATATTTAGTGATGGAGCTTCTGCGAGGTGGGGAGTTGTTGGAAAGGATCAAGAGGAAGAAACTGTTTGGCGAGGCAGAGGCCAGTCAGCTGTTACAGAGCCTGGTCTCAGCTGTCAGCTTCATGCACGAGGCTGGAGTCGTACACAGAGACCTCAAACCAGAGGTGGGTGGAGATTTGATAACTTTATCATTCCTGACAATATATATATATAACACGCATGTTTAAAAAGGTAGGAAAAAAGAGTCTTGTAACTGGGGATCTGCTGTCTCATATGTGAGAGATGTGTGTGACGTTATTATTTTTTCAGCATGACTTTTACATGATGTAATCCGGGTTAAAAAGGGTTTTTTTTAAAAAAGAGAGACAGAGCGACAATCACTGATTGTCCAAAACATGGACGTTGCCATCATGATGTCACTCACTGGTTTTTGGACTGCATTTTGAAGCTTCTCCATAAATTTAATGTTTTCAAATGACAGACTGGTGTATCAACTACCAAACGTGAGCAATGAACAGACACAGATATCTGCTAATTAGCCTTAAGTAGGAGAGGTAACACACTAAAAACAAATGAATTCACCAAAACTGAAGCACAAATATTATTTGTCTAATAATTCAATTTAAAATGCTCTTGAAGGCCCCAGCAGCACACACATGTAGGAGGGAGCAAGTTCAGTGACTTTAAGTGGTGGACGTGAAGCCTAGCAGACACTGATTGGCTGCTCCTTTTGTTGGACCCAAAGCAGCTGTGCCAGTAACTTCAACATTTAAATGAATAAGTTTGAAAAAAATTACAAAAATAAAATTGGAAACTGTCCACAGACGTCAAAACCACTTTTGTACCAGGCTATAAACATGTTTTCATTTAATGCTGTTTAGTTTTTTTTTAATGGAAGTCTGTCAAGGCTGAATCGTTTTAGGAGCCAGCCTCAAATTGCCGATTTAGGAACAGCAGTTTTTGGCACTTCTATGTTGGCTTAATTTTTCACCTCTGCAGGCTACTGCTCGACAACAGCACATGATGTGACTTTTGTGGTGCTTTTCAAAATGAAAGCAGCAGATTTCACACACACACACACGCACACACACACACACACTCCTTAAGATGGCTGTACGGTTTAATCAACTGAAGAAGGCTTTTATATGGTGTGCATAATGATTGTGAATGAGACATGTTGGCAAATATCACCTAATAACTTTAAGATGTCTCTAGTATGGCTTTTATTTTGATGCACACCTAAAAGGATTAGAACTGTTTATTTGCACTGTCTGTTTACACATAAGTTCTGGTACATGCCAACCGGTGGTGGCTGTCATACTCGTATTTACTAATAGTCTTTACTCTGTCAGGAGAATTGAATCTTAATGTGTAAGTAAAATAAGAGCTGATCCTCATGGCTTTTGTTTGTTTACCTTACAGAACGTGCTGTTTGCAGATGAGGGGGAGGACTCTGTGCTGAAAGTAATAGATTTTGGATTTGCTCGCCTGTGCCCTGCAGGCAGTGCCCCCCTGCAGACTCCCTGCTTCACGCTGCAGTATGCTGCACCAGAGCTTTTCGAGAGTGCAGGATATGATAAAGCCTGTGACCTCTGGAGTCTCGGGGTCATCCTGGTAATTGAATCTGAATATGTTGATTTTTATCATAGCTCGGCTGACTGAATACTAATGACCCTTGTGTGCGTCTTTCTCAGTACACCATGCTCTCAGGCCAGGTGCCATTTCAGAGTGAGCAGCGTGGAATGACCTCATCATATGCTGCTGACATCATGCAAAAAATAAAAGAGGGGGATTTCTCATTGGATGGGGAGCCCTGGAAGGGTGTGTCAGAGGATGCCAAAGAGCTTGTTAAAGGTACTGAATATGTTTGTTCTTAGTTTGCTTTAGTTGAGATAAATGCCTGTTGAATTTCCTCTATTGCTTGCTTGTTTGTGTCTCTTTTCCTGTTTTAAGGCCTGCTAACAGTGGATCCAGAGAGCCGTCTCAAACTCTCTGATCTGAAAGAGAACAGCTGGCTTCAGGGTGGAGCATCCATGTCCACCACTCCTTTGTGCACGCCAGATGTGCTCGAGTCCAGTGGGCCCACTGTCCGCACTTATGTCAATGCTACCTACAAGGTAATAGATTGGTGTGAAAAACTTCTAAAAGGTCTCAGAAAGAATCTTAAATAAACGTATTTTATCTCACTTTTGTCGCCTTCCACTCTCACCAGGCTTTCAACCGAGGTAAGCGAGAAGGCTTCTTTCTGAAAAGTGTCGACAATGCTCCCCTTGCGAAACGACGAAAGATGAAGATGACCAGCACAGGAGTAGAGACCCGATGGAGTTCATCCTCTTCTTCTTCGTCTTCTTCCACTTCCTCCACTGCCTCTGCAACAGCATCCAAAACACAGCCAAAGCAAGCCGTGATCCCAAAGCAGAGCTAGCCTGGCAACAGAACAGGGAGAAAGTGTTACGTGCTTGTACGGTAGCACAACGTCCTCCAGCAGTCAGTTAAAAAAAGCAAAAGCATACTGACAAATGAGAACACTGTTTTCACTTCATGTAAAATATAATTCCACTTTAACAGCTGCAGGTTTTCATTCCTAACGCTGTATTCTTTAAAAAACAAAACATGTATTTTCTGTGGTGGAAGAGGAGGCCTGACTGTCAGAAACTTTTAATACTTATTCAGTATTCACTCACTTTATTTTGGTGAGATCGCACACTAAAAGTTAAAAATGAGACATTTACCTGGTTTCACTGTGGGTAAGAAACAGTGCCTGGCTACATAGGGAAAAGGGAAAAAAGGAGCCATAAATAAGCAGAAGCCATATACAAAGCAAAAGAAGTGAATACATCCATTAAGTCATTGTGAAGAGGCACACATTTGTACACGGCAAATGAACAGTCCTTCCAGTAATTTGCAGGTTTAATTCTTTGATTGTACTGCTGAGTTTTTTGCCACAAATATAATGATTAACACAAAAACTGCAGAAGTCGACACTGTGCTCTGTTAAGAGCGAGCAAGATTCAGGTGTTTGCAGAGAATGTCAAACGAACAAATGGTTTAAAAAAAAAAAAAGCAGCAAATTTCTGGAAGGATGGAGCACAGAGAGAGATTACTGTGGCGTGCAAAACCTTAAGGATTCTATAGGATGATTAATGCTGTCGGTCTTTGCAAAGAAGCTGCACCTGCAGTACACTACTCACTGTACGGATCCCACTGAACACTTTGAGGAGCTGGGATTATGTGGCTCTGAAGAAGTGCTTTGATTGTGTGTCAAGATGTGTCCAACAGTAGCAGCTGTTTAAAACAAAAAAAAGACATGGAGACACAGAAGCAGACATGCAGTGGAGTGCGATTTTCATCATACTTGCTGTATATTACTCGCGCTATCGTGCCTGTCTGAAAATTTCTAGCATGCTAATCTGTTGTGATGATGGACTGTAAGAACTTTTTCTATTTTTGGTATCTTTGAGTCATTGAAAAAAAAGTTACTTGGAGTATTTTCTGTTTTTCTACGCTACCAAGTGCAGCTCAAGTGTTTGCACGTAGATGGAAGCCGAATGTGGCTGGTGATTTTGAACGCACATCGCCTTTGTGAACTTTGAATGATTATTACAGTTTTTATTCCTGATGGTATCAAATGCGGGCGGTAGTCTGATTGCAAGGTTGATGCTCAACGATTAAGCTCATCCAGGCTGGCTTTCGTCTTTATTTTTCCACAGAAGTGATTTTAAAACATTTTATGGCTTTGAACTTCAAATTACGTTTCAGAATGAGACACCTAATTGTGACTTTTTTGGTTGTTTTTTTAAGGATGGGGCCACCATCCTATGAGAGCTTTGTATATAATCATCATGCTTTAGAGAAAAAATAATGTATGTAATGATTTGATCAGCTATTTGGGTGGTATATTGTAATGTTTTTTAATGGACTTGCCTCTTTTTTTTTTTCTTTTTTACATGTTGCACAGTCAGTTGATCAGTTAACACACATTTCAGCTTTAAAGGTGCTTTCACTGATATTTATTACATGTAATTGATTTTAATGCTGTGGTAATGGGATTATCATAATTTGGCTCTTGTTGTGTACCAGCCCGGCGTGAATGTTGCTGTATGATAACTGAGTGGCGATGGGAGATTGGTTGTATTGATATTTCTGAACCAGATGAAGCATAATTGCAAGTTACTGTAATATTTTCCTGTTGTTGTTCGAAGCCGTTGTCTGTTTGAAGGTAACCGGTTGTTTGTTTGGTATTTTTACTTAAGAAACTGCTTTTATTGATATTGGTATTATTTGGTTGTCATAGATATTCTCTCTTCTCTTTTCCCGAGCATTATTTTACTGAGTTGCACTGTCTCTGGTGTTGTTGCTGGGATTTGTCTTTTTGCACCGCAATGTTTTTATTTTATTTTTTTGGCTGGTGCAAAATAAACATTACTTTTCAATAGATTACTGTGTGGTTTGTCTTCTCGGTGTTGTACGAGGACATTATACTGCTACTGTTCTATCAAAATTTTAAACGAATATCCTCATATGTGGCTCTTATTTTTCTTAAAAACAAAAATAAGGTTAAAAGAATCTGGTAATTCTTTGTTTTTACATTCATCGGGCCCCAATATGCCCAAATATCAAAGAGAAATTAAAAATGCATGCTGTGGAAGAGTTCGGGTCTTAGGAAGTTAAAATAGTTTCTTGTGTAGAATTTCTTTTGATACACATTTTTAGTTTTTGCAAAACAAGAGCTTGCATGTATTTAAGATACAGAGCACTGATTCTTCTAGGGTGAAATAACATTTCACATGCTTAAATCGTATTGCTGATATCCTGTTATAGAAGTAATTAAGTAAAGATAGTCACAAATTGAATTAGGACAGTCACAAAATGCTGAACACAGTCCACAGAGTCAACTATCCATAGTTGTAGTGGTGAACTTTTCTGCAGCCTTGGTGCCACAAACTGACAGGCTCTGTACACCACTAGTCTTTAGACGTGTACAGTGAACGCCTCGCAAATTCTTGTCACAGCGAGCAGTAATGTATTTTGTAAGAAGCTGGGATATATAATCTGCAGTTTGGCTGCTTAGTTCTCTGTGTGTTAACACAAGAATTTAAAATGAATCCTAAAATCTACTGGGAGCTGATATAAAGAATATAAAATAGGAGTGATGTGAGGGTACTCACTGTGGTGTTAATAGTCGCAGCATTTTGTAAAGCTTGGAGGTGTGAAAGAGATGATTTGTCCAAGTTGGTTAGCAGAACATTAAAATAATCTAAATGCAGTGACACAAATACATGAATACTTTGTGTCATCCAATTAAAAGGAAAGTTCTATTTAAGCATTAGCTTGTATTGCACTCTATAATACACGTTTCACAGTTTATTTTCATTATATTCATTGTGCGTTGCACATAGCAATGAAAGGATGCCACATCGCTCAGTGCGAATTAAAGTCATCAACCTACAGAAGGGCTAAACTCAAAGACACCATAAAAATCAATGTGAAAAAATGATATGGCAGGCTAGTCCATTTCTGTTGAAATTTCATTGCAGCAACTCAAAATGGTACTCGAGAGTTTCTATGGTCTCCATGTACTTGTATGATCTTATCTGTGAAAAGCACACGGCAGCAGTGGGGGACCTGGCAGTGCTTATCCTGCTCTTCCTTGCACAAAGGAGCAGATTCACCTCCTGTTGATGTTAAACACCTTCTACGGCCATGATTAACAACCCCCTCTACTACTTTACTAACAAGGTCAATATCAATGTAGTTTTACTCACCTGATGCTACACTTTGATTAAAAAGTGTTTGTTTAATTTCTTTTTAGCAATATATGTTTAAAAAAACAGAATTCTTAATAAAAGAAAGAAAAATGAAAAACTCAGTTTTCTGTGCCTCTTAACAGAGTCTCAAATGTGTGGAGGAGATACCAGGAGACAGGTAGTTACTCTACGAGAGCTGCACAGGGCTTTAGAGAGCCATCGACTCAGCAGCAGGATTGGTACCTGCTCCTGTCAGAGCGTTATGACGTGACCTCCAGTCAGCTACTCTTGCAGTTTCTGACAAAACTATCAGAAATGGACTGCATGAGGGTGGCATGTAAGCCTGATGTGTCTTAGTGGGCTCACAGTCCTGCAATGTGCAATTTAATTATGGTTCACCAGAGAATACTAGAACTTTCAGATCTGCCACTAGCACCCCATTCTCTTCACAGATGAGAGCAGGTTACAACATGAAAGAATGTGGAGACGATGTGGGATGCTGCCTGGAACATCATCTGGTAAGACAGGTTTGGAAGTTAGTCAGTGACGGTCTGGAGAAGTAAGGCTTTTGAGGATCGTACAGACCCCTATGTGCTGACTGCTGTTGGATACCAGAGTGTGAAGGCAGTTCTTGGATGATAAAGATGAATCTATCACTGATGTGAGAATAATGTGTGATTTCAGTATTCCCTTGTTTTTCTGAGCAGTCTATATTCTCTACAATCAATTTCACCTTCATATAAAATTCTGGGAAACATACAACATGCCTATTATATCGTTAAGGCAATAATTACTTATTGTATGAGAAGTGCATTTGTTAAACTAGACAAGCTGTTTTTGCATGCAAACAAATGAAAATGTGCTATCTGGATTTGGATTGTGTGGACAGCAGTCTAAGGAGAGAAGCCCAGACTCCCCTGGCCACCTCCTCCAGCTCATCCGGGGGGTTGGGAGGTGGGGATGCCCCGGGGCTTCCTACCATTAGGACATGCCTGGAACACCTCACCTAGGAGATTTCCAGACAAACTCAACTGGGTCATATCAATGTGGAGGAGCAGCGGCTCTCAAATGACTGAGCTCCTCACCCTGTCTCTGAGGGAGAGGCCAGCCACCCTTTCATTTCTGTTGCTTGTATCCAAGACCTCCCATAGCTCGTGACCACGAGTGTAGACTGACTTTTAAATCGACATCACCTTTCCAGCTGAGAATCATGGTCTCGGACTTGGAGCTGCTTATTCTTTGCTTCACACTTTTTAATTCCACTTTTTCTTTTTATTCCACTGCTTCACACTCGGACGCACACGATATTAAAATTGCGGTTTAATGTTATGTGCCTCATTATTCATTATTTTCATTATTCTCCATTTGCTCTTTTATGCCGTACCACAACAGTAAATCCTCCTCCAAGGTTAAATATTCCATACAAATGTGGGCTAGATGTTCAGAATCTCCTCTGCCGCTGCTTCTTAGTGAATCAAAACATGTTGACACGTCTGCACGTGTGCTTCCTATAGTCTACGAGCTGATCTGAACACAGAATTGGTCTTTTAATGGCTGCATATTTATTCCTGTACTTGGTCTTGATCTTGGTGTCCTGGAACTGTTCACATCTACTGCTGAACCTGTGAACATTAGCTCTATTTTTAGTATGGGTGTGTTAAGTGGCAGTAAGAAGAAAGGCAGCAGTGGGAATTGAGCCTCTGTAAATATTGGCGGGCTGTTTCCTTTCACTCAAACTATCCCTCAAAGCCTTTTACTTCTGTTCCTACTGAGCCTCCAGTACAGCTGAGCTGCTTAACAGTGCTGATCCCTGCATGA